GCCTGCCCATTCATCCCACTGCCACCATGTCAGGCCATGTCAGTGAAGTTCCTTCGTGAACCTCCTTCTTGACCTTTAACATCTTCTAAACTGGTCCCCTCCCCCATCTGCCTGCTCTCACCTTTCAGCTTCTCTCAGCCATGTTAGGTTTATATTCATGCAAATCTACTCTGAGCTCTCTCTGCCAGGAATTCTTCAGGGATTCCCCACTTAGCTTCTAACTTTCTTTCTTCCTTTTTCTTTCTTTCTTTCTTTCTTTCTTTCTTTCTTTCTTTCTTTCTTTCTTTCTTTCTTTCTTCTTTCTTTCTTTATTTCATGAGCAACAGAGACAAAGGGAGAGGAAGATAGAAAGGCAAGCACCCAGCAGGGTCTTGACAGTTCGATCCTACCCAGCTTCAGCCTTTCCTGGACCATGGGCACCTAGAGAGGTCAGGGAGGTCTCTGGACATGAACCCAGAACGTTCCCATGTGCATCAGCCTCACAGAGTGTTGCATTTTACCACTGTACAGCTGTTCAAGCCCCTCTGACTAACCCATGCCTATTCCACATTCCAGGCTTATCACCTGTCTTACCCCACACTACTCCACATTTCTGCCAACTGGTCTTCTAGCAATACCGAGGTCGTCTGCATTTTCTATTTAGGGACCTTTCCTCAGGCTCCTCCCCAATCAAGAAAACAGTATTCTTCCATCTATGTCCATTCAAATGCTACTGATTATTCCAGAAGTAGGTCAAGAGCCAACTGAAAAGTAAGTTTTCTTCCCTCTCTTCCTTTTTTTTTTTTTTAGAGGTTTTTGCTATAGGGCGCATGTGCTCGCCAGATAGGCAGAGAGAGACAGAGAGACAGAAAGCGAGAAATCACCCCCCAGGGGGGCGGCCCCGCCGCAATCCCGTCTCCTCCATTCTCCTCTCGGGATCTTGGGCACGCACACACACACGCCCGGCATGAGTTTAAGCCACCTGGTTGAATACGTGGGAGTCCAGTGACATAGCCATTACGCTAACTGCTGGTCCCAGCCCTTCTCTGTTTTTAATCTCATGAGTTTCTTGTGCATCTAGGTTGAGTGTTAATGGCAGGCCTCTGACCAGGCCAAAGCTGACCCTGATGACAGCAGTGCTGTTGCAGCTTTGTTTGTGAAAGCTGAGGCATCCCCCTGGATCTAATCAGGAAGTAGAGAGCTTAAGGGCTAAACTGAGGTGTCAGAGCACTGGGAGTTTGGGACTGCCGCCTGTGTGCAGGGGCTTGGCGTTCCTTTCACAATTTTACAGTAATCAGGGTCAGCAGCGCAACTAAACATTCCGTATGATGCTTGTCTTCACGAATCATTTCTTCAGCCCCGTGCTAGCCCAGGCTGAGTGCTGACTGAGAGCCAAAGGCGCGTTTCCCATAGCACAGTGCATCTGAATCAAATGAGAGAGGAGCAGAAAACTGTCTTGAATGCCATCTGCCCTGTCCTGAGACTCCAGTGCTAATTGCCCCCAAAGGGACTTCCCAGTTTTATATTGAAAAGCCCAAGAGATTTAGGAATCTGGCAGACTTGGATTAGAATAAAGTTTGTCGAATGAGTGATGACTCTATAGTAAGACTGCTATCTTGAGCAGCTAGTTAGTTTCTGACAGCCTCACACTCCTGTTCTGTACAATGGGGATGGTAATGCATATCTTGCAAGGCTGTTGGGGAGGATTGCATTAAGTTAGGTAACACATGTAAGTGTTTACTACATCCTCCTGACATTTCATGGGTGCTTAAACATGTTGGTTGGAGGAAAATTAAATAATGACATATAGACAGTAGCTTAAGTTTAGCTCGTGAATAATGCAGGAGTGGAGATATAGAGGTTGTTAGAAAGAGAGGGAAGATGGGACCAGCAGTTAGCGTAATGGCTATGTCGCTGGACTCCCATGTAGTCGGCCACGGTTCGTGTCCCGGACCCGGTGGCTTAAACTCATGCTGGGCTCATGTGCATGCATGCCCAAGATCCCAAGAGGAGAACGGAGGAGAAGGGATTGCGGCATGGCCATCCCCCCTGGCGGGTGATTTCTTGCTTTCTGTCTCTCTGTCTCTCTCTGTCTGTCTGGCAAGCGCATGTGCCCTATAGCAAAGACCTCTCCAAAAAAAAAACAGAGAAGGGCTGATCTACCTTGATTTTTTTCATCATTTGGGGTTGGAAGCCCCCAAACTTGTTGGAGCAGTTCATATTGCCAAACGAAAAATATTATAATAATGGGTTTATTCTCTTCCTTATTGTTTTGGAGTTCAGGGTGTTCAGCAGACACTGTTTGCTCAAGGAGAGTGTAAACAGGAGTGCTGAGGCCTGTGGCCAATGAGCACACCTCCTCTGCCGTGTTCAACCTGTCGAGGGGTGTGGATCTAATGATAAAGAAGCCGAACCGGGAGGGAGGTAAGTAACTCTGTTTTCTGTTTTATACGTATTTCCCTTTCAATTCTCAAAGCAACCCTTTCTGAGGTAAGTGTTATTGTAACACCCATTCTACAGATCCAGAAACTGCGAGGTAAGTAACAAGGCTAGAACCAGGTGTGCTGAGTTCCACGGCTTTCCACATCCCTAAGCTTAGGTTGGCTTTGTGGCAAGATCTTTTGCTTAGTCAAATATTGGTCATATAATAGGACTCAGGGCAAAATTTGTACACAAGTTAGCATTCTCAAGTATTAATATTCTTTTCTATCTCCAAACCAAGATGATAGGAAATGTTTAATTTCCTTTTTTTTAAGAATTATTTTATTTAACTTTATTTAATTATTTATTTTAACTTGACCAAAGAGGGACAGGGAGAGACTGAGAGCGAGAGCAAGAGCGAGAGCGAGAGCGAGAGTGAGAGAGTGAGAAAGCAAGCCGCCAGGTCCAGGGCTGAACTGTGGTCAGCCTTGTGGGAGTCCAGTGCCCTCAACTACCAGGCCATCTGCCAGCCCCAGGAAATGTTTTTTTTTTATTTTTTTGGAGAAGTTTTTGCCATAGGGCATGTGCACTCGCACTCCCCAGAAAGACAGAGAGAGATAGATAGAGAGACAGAACGTGAGAAATCACCCCCCCACCCCCCCAGGGAGGATGGCCACACCACAATCCCCTCTCCTCCATTCTCTTCTCAGGATCTTGGGCTCGCACGCACATGTGTCCGACATGAATTTAAGCCCCTGGGTCCAGGACTCAAACCACGGTCAACTACATGGGAGTCCAGTGACATAACCATTATGCCAACTGCTGGTCCCTATTTTTTTTTAAATGTCTCATATTTTCCAGAGCTGACAAAGACCTCAACAAGAATTAGCAGTTGAATAGTAAGATTCTTACCTTTCCATCAGGAGACTCTCATGTTTGATTCTGAGGCAGATGGGCTCGTTTGGACTCATTGTTTTGGTTGGTTAGACCACAGGCGACCAAAGCCAGTGAATCATGGTCACTGATAAGATCATCTTGTTTCCAGCCTTTTTTAAAAAGGTCATAAAGAAAGAAATGGGGGGGGGGGCGGCAACAGGTGGTGCAGTGGTTAAGGCAATGAATTTCCCACATGGCCAATGCAGTTCGAGTCCAGGACCCAGTGACTTGAAAATCACAACAAATAAATAGGTAAATAAATAATTAAATAAAAGGTCATAAAAGGGCTGGGTGGAAACACAGCTGGTTGAGACTAAAAAAAGACACCAAAAGTCCTACTGACTGAGATCATTTATGTCCTATTTACGAGTCTTCAAAGTCAAACTACATAAAGAGTTTAAACTGCACACGCACACACAGAAGACGAATAAATCACTCGAAAATATCCTCTGCTTCTTCATGATCTGCTATGCTGTAAACAGTCTAGTGCTTCGAACACCTTCATAATGGTTGTGGATGGAACGGTGTTGTCAGTTGCTGATCAGTTAATACTGACAACTTACGAAAATATTTTACCTTCTCAAACCCTTAGCCAAGCTTGACATTTGCGATGACTTTTACAGTGCTAGATTCTTGACGTAATATGAAGTCTTTCACCTTTCCCAGAGCTAGCAGAACATTTGTTTTGCCTTCCTCACTATAGTTGTAAATATTTTCTTGCTGCTCTGCCGTATGGCTAACGAAAAAAAAAAAAGTCCCTCAGAGCACAACCAAGTATTGTTATTTCAATCATACAGACACTATTGAGTTGTGTTACTCCCAATATGTTTTTGTGTCCCTCCAAAAAGAATGTTCAAAAGGCATTTTCTGTTAGAAGGCATTCACTACGTATTGTCTGCATCACGTCAGCATTTTAAAAACAGTCTGGAGAAGACAACATATGTTAGCAGAAGTCCAGAGAAGGCGTGTAGAGACTGGCAGGGAACCAGACATCGGAGAACTCAAAATCTGGACAAAAGCCGGTTTTATGCTGACAGGTGCGGGGAGCAAAGTGCCCTGGGGGTCGAGGGAGGCAAAGCCACGCTGAGGATTCACATTTAGCAACCTGCAAGGTACCTGGATGCTTAACACTGCGGGAAGAGAGCTGCTGGGACTCCACGGTTCCTCTTGGACATTCCCCCCTTCACGCTCCGTTTTTCAAAGTTGTGATCAAACCCACGAGGATTCCTATTTTGCTCCACTACTTTTTTCTGGCCTTCCTAACTCCTTTCTTACTCACCACTGTTTTTCCTCTTTCTATTTTGCCTGTCTGTACAAAATCTTTTGTTTTCAACCACTTTTAAGGTGATTTCACCCCCGCTGAAAAACAGCTCGTCTTTTCATGCCCTCCTTCTGAGTCTAGGCGGCCAGGTCACTTCTGGGCTGGGACCTTTCTCGCTGAGCTCAGCGCCCCCAGCTGCCCGACGGTCTATCAGACTGGCCGTCTGGTGGGCTGGCCTCCCCAGGACGCCGGTTTGGTCCCTTCCCTCCCTTCACGTCTCCTCTCCAGAGAAACCTAAACTCCATGGCCTCTGAAACTGGCTGTACCTGGGTCCCCAAGGTCTTCGCCTAAATCCAAGATTTTTCCCGACGGAAGCGAGGTCGGGTCGGGGAGAGCACAGTACCTCTTTGCAGGCGTGAAGCTCAGCTCCGGTTCCCTGGGTCACCTGGAAGGTGGCAGCAGCCCAGAGCAGCAGCGGCAGAAGCCGGGGAGTGCACCTCTCAGTTCTTCCCCTGCCTCTGGCAGAGGGATGGTGGCTGTGGCCGGGCGCAGCGGTGGCCCGGGCGAGCGGCAGTAACGGCTCAGGTGCTGCGTCTGAGGCTTCGGTCGGCAGAAGGCGGAATAAAAGGCGAGGGAGGTACACAGGGGAGGATGCAAGGGGCTGGGCTCACTTCAGTCACCTCCCCGCCGCTACGCCCAGGCCGCCCATCCTTCCTCCTCCCTCGTCCTCTTCCCCTCCTCCGACCCACGTCGCCTTGACAACCGCATCCTCCTTCGCTCCGCGCGGGTGGGGCAGGGACCACGCGCGCCTCTGCCGCTCACCTGCCGGTCGCCCTGGCAGGCG